GAGAGAGATAGATAGATAGATAGATAGATAGATAGATAGATAGATAGATAGATAGAGATAGATAGATAGAGAGAGAGATAGAGAGAGAGATAGATAGATAGATAGACGATAGATAGATAGAGAGAGCGAGAGAGAGAGAGATAGACGATAGATAGATAGATAGAGAGAGAGAGAGAGAGAGATAGATAGACGATAGATAGATAGATAGAGAGTGAGAGAGAGAGAGAGAGAGAGAGAGAGATATTTATGTGCTCCTGTGGCTCAGTGGTAGAGCATTACATTAGCAGCGCAAAAGGTTGTGGGTTTGATCCCCAGGGACACACATACTGGTAAAAAAAATGTATAGCCTGACTGCACTGTGACTGTAAGTCGCTTCGGATAAAAGCATCTGCTAAATGCATAAATTATTATACAAAAGAGCCATGACAAAATAAGTCTGTATGTACATTCAAAACTTTATTTATGGAATACAGTGTAGAAAGCGCAGTTTATTTCCAGTCAAAGCAAATGATACACAGAAAAATGCCACTGAAAGAACCTCATCACCATCATCTTTATCTAACCACCTCAGATCTGATCAAACCACAGCAACACACGCTGAGAATTACCCAGGATTCCTCACGGATCTGAAAACATGAGGGAGATCCTGTAAACGATTGATTGACATTCATCAGATGGGGTGATTATTGATTATGTCATTTCAGATCCTGGAGGTCACACGATAATAACCATCAGGTTATACTCATTATCATTCATGAGACGCTTTCTAAAACTGACTACAACAAAAACACGTGTGCGAGTGACACACAGAAACACTACAGGAGACAGACGAGATGCTCAGTGCATCCCCTCCAGCTCATATTTCACCTCAAAATCAAAAGAAAAAAATTAGAAATAATATTTTGCATGAAGAATTATTTTTTTTTTGCATTGCCACATTATTTGCATGTAAATTAAGCACATTTAACCACAAATCTGCATTACTGTAATGCAGCAATGAATGGAAATTATATAAAAAAAATGATAACTCTGCATTCATTAATAACATTCAATACAATCATGATAAATACTTACAACTGCACAATTTAAATACATTTTCCTGCATTACAGTAATGGCAAAAAATAATAATGCAATGCAAAATCTTTTTCTTTTGATTTTGCAGCGAGACAAAGGTGTTTTTTCTTCTTCTCTCAGATCACTGCATCAGTTTCTGCAGCTCCGCACTGAAAACTGAGACTGCTGCGTAACACGAGAGATGAAGAGACAGACAAAGAGTGATCTAAGAACAACAACCTGACTGGATAGAAACACACAAACAGACCCGCCCCCGAAAACACGCTTAAAAAACACATTCAACCACGAGTCCAATGGAGAATCAAATTAAAGATAAGGAAGAAGTAAATAAATCTCTGAAATGCATAGGACGAAAAAAACATTAAAGACAGTAAATGTACATCGACAGGATCTCAGCCGGATTTAAAAAACAACCAGATCTTGAAATCAAAGCATTTAATCCAGTTTAAGTTCTATTAGAAGCAAATTGAGTCATTTTTTGTGCAACTCAAATCACATTTTCACAAGTTACTGTTTAATCCTGCTAAAACGCCTCTACGTGAGAAAAGTCCGAGATCCAAATAGCAGAAGAGTTTTCCCGTCATTTTTTCTATCATGCACTACGTAGTTACAACTAGCCTTTCTTCTTTTACATTACTTAAATATCGACAACTAAAAAAAAAAATTTCTTTTTAAAATTATCACTTTTTTTTTTTTGGAAAAAGAAACCAGAAACGATCAAACGTTTTGAAGATCTCATTCAGAAGGACATCGATTACCAGAATAATCTCCGATAGGTTTAATGCGTCACCAAACACAGCGCAGCTGCAGTCAGTGTGCGATGAAGAGGAGGAAGAATCAGACAATCATCCTCAGATATCCCAGTGTTTCACTTGGTTAGTAGTGCGAGAGCAGACGGTGCAGCGACACAAAACCCAACTCTACACGGTCAGCCAACAGATCAGATTCAGAAAGCTTAGGGAATGATGAGATCAAACTGATTTCATTAGATACAAAAAATCTGGAGTGAATTCAGAACTGTGCATTGCATTTGATGTGGATCACAGAATTTTCAAACTTTGCGTTCAATTTAAACTGAACTTGAAACTGATCTTAACAACATAAACCAGTCACAGTTAATCAAATCTGGAGTGAAACTTGGTTTGAAACTAAAACTGAACTTGAAACTGACCCCGACAGCATTAATCTGATCATCTTCATGTTGGTCCAGCAGACACCTGGAGTTAATATATAGAACTGTGCATTGAATTTGATTTGCAATCACATTTAAAACTGAATTTTCAAAGTGAATTTGAATTATGTGTTCAATGTAAACTCTGCTGAACTTGACACTGACCCGAAAAGCATTAATCTCATGTTCATGTTGGTCCAGACAGTTGCATGGCATAGTTGAAAACAGGAGTGAATTTAAAACTACATTTGAATTATGCACTCAATCTGATTTGTGATCTGAATTTGAACTCTGCATTCAATTTGAAACGGAATTTTCAACTTGAAACTGAACTCACGTTTGTCCAGCCAATGGGAAGTCATAGTTAAAAAAATTGGAATGAATTCACAACTGTGGATTGAATTTGATGTGAATCAAATTAAAAATATATATTTTCAAACTTCATGTTTAATTTAAACTGAACTAAATTGGCCCTTGATCAGATTTTGATTTAGGCAGTTAATTTAGGAGAATCTGAATTTTCATTTGTGAATTGAACTGAATTTGATTTATGCATTAAATTCAATTCAATTGTGTTTAATTCAATTTGTGATTTGAATTGAATTCAAATTAGGCAATCAATTTGATTTGTGATTTGAATTGAAATTATGAATTCAGTTCTACAGTATGAGTGATTTGAATTTAAAACGGAATTTGAATTGTCCATTCAGTCTGAAACTGAATCTTGAGACTGACCCAAACAGCGTTAATCTGATCATATTCTTCTAGCCCATGGAAGGTTAGAGCTGAAAAATCTGCAGTGAATTTAAAACTAAATTTGAATTATGCATTCAGATTGAATTGTGATTTGAATTGTGCATTCAATTTGAAACTGTATTTCAACTACTTGAAACGGACCCCATCTGATAAAGTTGATGTTCGTCCAGCCAACAGAATTTTATAAAAATTCTTATAAATTTTTATAAAAATCTGGAGTGAATTCAGAACCGTGCATTGAATTTGATGTGAATCAACTTCATATGTTCAATTTAAACTGAATTGAACTTGAAACTGACCCCAACAGCATTAAAGTCATGTTCATGCTTGTCCAGCCCAGTTTTACAATCTGCAGTGAATTTAAAACTAAATCCAAATTATATGTTCAATCTGAATTGTTCATTCAGATTGAAACAGCATCTTCAATAACTTGAAACTGACCGAGTTCATATTCGTCCAGCCAATGGGAAGTCATGTTTGATTGACAGTCATGTGAAGTGGCCAATAGGAAGCGAGATGTTAATGAGCGGTGAGTTCGGGCTGGTGTCTCCTGCACCGTCTGCAGAGGTGAGGAGGAGGAGGAGGAGGAGAAACAGGGAGGAAGAGGAGCCTCACACCATCAGTTGTGCATTAGTTCGAAGAACTTGTAGGTGGGGTTTTCATAGCCGTTCTGCTGCATCTTAGACAGGTGACGTTCCTCCGGGGTCACAGCAGCATCCACCTGAGAGACAAATGATTCGGACTTCAAATGAATCACTATTTCGACTCATTTGATTCATATGCATCATGTCACGGGATGAATCAACGAACACACATGTGTGCACCGACTGACCTCAATGATTCCGTGGTGGATGGATGTGTACTGCTTCTTCCTCAGCATCACCAGGGTGATGACGATGATGGTTGCTATGACAACACCTCCGACCATCAGGCCAATAATAGCTCCCTTATTGGAGCTCACGTCCTCGGCGAAGAAAACCTGAACACCAGAAACAAAAGACAAACATGAGATTACAGTCACACGGGCTGAACTCTCATCAGAGACGTGCTGCGTCATAAAATACTAAAAATGCAGGACGACTGACTGCGAAATGAAGCCTATTAGAATGCAGTTATATGAGCCTAAAATTCAAGATACGAGGCAAAAATTAACATATTTAGATCATATGATATAGTTTAGCAATATCACACCAGCAAGAGTGCTGCTTTCCCCAACATCTGCACCATTGCTAATGTGATACTGATTTTATACAACAGTTCAACAGTTCATATTAAGCAATATTGTCAGAATTGTCAAAAATTTTTCCAATCAAAGTCACAGCTGAACTGTTGAGTCTCTGATCGACATACAGCAGTCATCTGTTAATGAATGAATCCACATTTTTACATGAATCGAGTGAGTCAATGATTCAGTGACTCATTCATAAAGACAGTCACTTGCTTCGTTTCTGAATGAATCAACTGTTTTTAAAAAATGGAGTGAGTCAATGATTCAGTGATTTATTCATTCACTTGCTTTGTTTAGGAATGAATCAGCAGTTTGAACAAATCGAGTGAGTCAATGATTCAGTGATTTATTCATTCACTTGCTTTGTTTAGGAATGAATCAGCAGTTTGAACAAATCGAGTGAGTCAATGATTCAGTGATTTATTCATTCACTTGCTTTGTTTAGGAATGAATCAGCAGTTTGAACAAATCGAGTGAGTCAATGATTCAGTGATTTATTCATTCACTTGCTTTGTTTAGGAATGAATCAGCAGTTTGAACAAATCGAGTGAGTCAATGATTCAGTGATTTATTCATTCACTTGCTTTGTTTAGGAATGAATCAGCAGTTTGAACAAATCGAGTGAGTCAATGATTCAGTGACTCATTCATAAAGACAGTCACTTGCTTCGTTTCTGAATGAATCAGCTGTTTGAACAAATCGGTTGAGTGAATAATTCAATGACTCGCTCATTAAGACAGTGAGTTGCTGCCACCTACTGGTGGCAACAGTTTCATATTGATCTTTTTATTTTTTTAACCATTTCATATTCAGTTTTTTGATAGCCTTAAAAGTTTTTATAATAAAGTCTATGATCAATCAAAACATTTCTTTATAAAGCTACTTTTTTTGTGTTGTTTAGATTAGGTATTATGGTTGACATATTTCAGCCCTAATATGTAAATGTACCAGTTTCTGGTGGTAAACTTCACTGTGTCTCTCTTCAGCTTCCATCCGCAGCTCAGGAACATCGTCAGGCTTCAGTCCAGACACTGAACGACAAACACAGAAATGATATTAAATACTGGAAATACAAGTGTTTTGGTTTTGAAACGTTTTCAACTCATGCAGCTGGAATTGACAGTTTACATGCACTTCTGTTTCAGCTCTACATTCTGAATATGATTTTTACATCAGCCCATCTACACATGCATGTTTTTGCTGGGGTGATTATTAGATTTATTACTACTTTACAAACTTTTAACTGGGACTCAGACACTTTCAAGGTGACCATCAAAAATGCAAAAAAAAAAATTTTTTTTTAAATATGTCTATATTTAAAAAAAAATGTAATTTCAGTTTTAGTTATTTTAGTACAAATTAAACTAAATAAAAAAATGAAAAAAGCTTTTTATATTTTAATTACAAGTACCTGGTCGGGTCGGCAGGCCTCGGTCCGGGACAGGTCGCGCGTCCACCGGCTCAACTGCAGAGAGAGACACAAGCGAAAGATTCACTTCATATTCACATCAAAACTAGATTTTGCACTGAAGAAAAATGTCGGTTGACTTGATCTGACTGACAAGCAGAAAGGCTTCTGATTGGCTAATAAAACACACAACAACTGCAACATTCACAAACAAACAGGAGAAAGTTACATGATTGTTATTGCTATCTGAAATAAAAAATGATGTGTAGCATGCTGTTGAATTGCAGCAGGTCTGTGTTCCTGATGCCGGATGTCATATATGCTTCCATATGGCGCTCACTGCTCTGACCTGGCTCACACACTCATGAGGCAGCCGGGGCTGCTGGGATACATGTGTGTGTGTGTATAAGTTTATAAGGTTTATGAAGACACAAATGTGTATAATGACATATGTATTACAACGTGAACATGGTTTATGAGGTTTAGACTTCCTGTGTCCCCGTAAACCGAATGGCTTTAAAACATACTAAAATTTGTGTGTGTTTGTGTTTTTTTTTTTTAGAACCTAGAATTGCCTGTAGTTTTGTGTGAGGGGCAGGTGTGTGTGTGTGTGTGTGTGTATGAGTGATTGAGTGAGTGAGTGTGTGTGTGAGTGAGTGAGTGTGTGAGTGAGTGTGTGTGTGTGTGTGTGTGTGTGAGTGAGTGAGTGAGTGAGTGAGTGAGTGAGTGAGTGAGTGAGTGAGTGAGTGAGTGAGTGAGTGAGTGAGTGAGTGAGTGAGTGAGTGAGTGAGTGAGTGAGTGAGTGAGTGAGTGAGTGAGTGAGTGAGTGAGTGAGTGAGTGAGTGAGTGAGTGAGTGAGTGAGTGAGTGAGTGAGTGAGTGAGTGAGTGAGTGAGTGAGTGAGTGAGTGAGTGAGTGAGTGAGTGAGTGAGTGAGTGAGTGAGTGAGTGAGTGAGTGAGTGAGTGAGTGAGTGAGTGAGTGAGTGAGTGAGTGAGTGAGTGAGTGAGTGAGTGAGTGAGTGAGTGAGTGAGTGAGTGAGTGAGTGAGTGAGTGAGTGAGTGAGTGAGTGAGTGAGTGAGTGAGTGAGTGAGTGAGTGAGTGAGTGAGTGAGTGAGTGAGTGAGTGAGTGAGTGAGTGAGTGAGTGAGTGAGTGAGTGAGTGAGTGAGTGAGTGAGTGAGTGAGTGAGTGAGTGAGTGAGTGAGTGAGTGAGTGAGTGAGTGAGTGAGTGAGTGAGTGAGTGAGTGAGTGAGTGAGTGAGTGAGTGAGTGAGTGAGTGAGTGAGTGAGTGAGTGAGTGAGTGAGTGAGTGAGTGAGTGAGTGAGTGAGTGAGTGAGTGAGTGAGTGAGTGAGTGAGTGAGTGAGTGAGTGAGTGAGTGAGTGAGTGAGTGAGTGAGTGAGTGAGTGAGTGAGTGAGTGAGTGAGTGAGTGAGTGAGTGAGTGAGTGAGTGTGTGAGTGAGTGTGTGTGTGTGTGTGTTTATACCCTGGTACTGTGTGTTGGGCTGGTTGAAGCTCTCTGGGTGAGTGTGTGTGTGTGTGTGTGAGTGAGTGAGTGAGTGAGTGAGTGAGTGAGTGAGTGAGTGAGTGAGTGAGTGAGTGAGTGAGTGAGTGAGTGAGTGAGTGAGTGAGTGAGTGAGTGAGTGAGTGAGTGAGTGAGTGAGTGAGTGAGTGAGTGAGTGAGTGAGTGAGTGTGTGTGTGTGTGTGTGTGTGTGAGAGTGTGTGTTTATACCCTGGTTCTGTGTGTTGGGCTGGTTGAAGCTCTCTGGGTGGATGAAGCCCTGTGTGTCTTCGGAGGGCAGCAGGTCGAGGCTGGCGGTGCTGTCGGGCATCAGGGCGTCGTTACCGTAACTCACCCTCACGTCACTCTGCAGATTCGCTAACTGAGCCGACATTTCCTGCCGCTCGCGCTGCAACAGCTCTGACACACACAGACAGAACACAACAGATCGAGTCACTGATTCAGTGATGTATTCAATCATGTGTCTGAATGAATCAGCTGTTTGAAAAAATGGGTTGAGTGAATAATACAATGACTCACTCATTAAGACTTAATATGACTTATTTGCCACTTAAACTTTCATATTGATGATTTCATTTTTTTTTTTGTAATTTCATATTTCAATATTCAGTTTTTTGGTAGCCGTAAGAGTTTGTGTAATAAAGTCTATGATGAATCAAAACATTTCTTTATAAAGCTACTTTTTTTGTAATATTTAGATTTGATATTGTGGTTGAACACACGTCAGGAAACAGCAATACCAGTGATTACTGTGTTATTATAGGCGTCTAAACATGACAATTAAGACTTTTTTAAATTATAATTTTTATTTTTCATTTATGAAGTTTTCTATGAGTTTTAAGTTTTCTTGTCATTATAAATATTGACATTGTTATTGTTATTTATATTATATATATTACATATAAAATAATTTATAAATATTATTTTCATAAGAATTATGAAATTTATATTTATATATTATATAATTTATATTTATATATTAGCACGGTCAACTTTAAAATGCTATATATATATGCTAAATGCTATAAATATATCCATTTGTAAGTTGCTTATATACAGTATATATATAAGCGAAATGTTACTTTTTTTAAATGTTACCATTTTTAGATTTTTTTTATGCTGAATAGGAGGACAGCAGAATTAAACAGAGATGATCAGAAATCACATGATTGTGGGCAGAAAACACTGCGGTGAGCAAATGAAAGAGAAGAAACGGCAGAAAAGAGATGGTGATGATGCGTCAGGATTACAGAGTAAACAACCCATTATCCAGACAATCAAGTCAATTTACAGACAATTAAGCAAAAATGGGGGCAAAAACCAAAGTGTTTTCAAAAACCTCACACAAAGCTCCACTATTACACCAAATCAAGTCAAAAGAAAGAAGATCATCCATAGCTTTAAAATAACGAAAATCAATGAAAAAAAAAACTGCCAATAGACTATAACTCATGTTTCGTTCAATTTTGCTATATATTGATCGTCTTAATGCTGCACTTAGATTCATTATATTACCTGAGCCATATATGTGCAATGTGCAGAGTATGTACTGTACAAAGCAATGTGGATTCTAATTTCAGATTACTTTAATATGAACTGATTTTCATTGCTCATATAACTCTCTTTAAAACCTACCTATATTTTTTACATGGATTTTTTATTCTTTCTATTCAGACACAATAAAAATCTTAATTAAATGAACATGTTATTATATCTTTCAGTACATTTGAAATATCATATGCTTGATGATCTGGGAAAGGGATCCTATGGCTTCGTCAAGTTAGCAATTCATAAATCGGATCGCCGAAAGGTACCACAATTCTCTCTTTACTTTCCTTTTTCTTTATTTTTGTGTATGAGAGAGAGAGAGAGAGAGAGAGAGAGAGAGAGAGAGAGTACAGATGGTGCAGTGACGCAAGCACACAAATAAAGCAGCAGGAGGTGAAGAGGAGCACGAGATCAGACACAGATGAGTTCATGCATCACTTCAGCAAAGCTTCAACAATCAGTTTGTCGTCACTGACACTGATGCAGCTCCAAACAGAAAATAAAAAGAAGTGCTCAAACGTGCTCAGCGCAGTGTTATTTTAGCATCACTGAGACACTATTATCATTTTTAATAATATTTTGAATTAGTTTTTATCATTTTAAGTTTGTCATTTTTTTAATTATATTATTATTATTTTTAAATATGTCTATAATTTTTATTTCAGTTTTAGCTTTAGTTTTTCTGAACCTTCAAGTAAAACTAAATGAAAATGAGCAATGTTGCCTTGTCAATTAGATGAATTAAAAATAATTAAGCATGTTTAATTTTTGTTAAAGTTTTAGTAATTTTGTTGTTTTTGTCTGTAGTTTTTTTAAATTAATTTTTATTTAAATTCAACCAAAAAAGAAGTTTTTATATATTCTATTTTATTTCAGTTAGCATTTATTTATTTTAATTAACAAATATGTTTTATTATAGCTGAAATCAAAATAATTTAATGTTTTTTTTTTAAATATTTTATTTTGTTTCAGACATCACAAGGGAAATATATATATATATATATATATATATATATTGTCATATTTACTTTAACTGTAAGTGACGTCTTAATTATTTAATGTATATGCTTAAATAAATATTTGAGTGTGTGTATAGTTCAACAACAAACTGAAATTGAATAATTTAGAAGTTAATTTAAAAACAATTTACATGCTTGCATACAATTTTTTAATTTGAGTGTTGATTATTATAGTTAAAAATAAATAGTAATTGAGTTTATTTAATTGTAACCTTATAGAAATGCAAAAGGGCTCCCTATAGTTTAGAGGTAGATTTTTATCCCTAAGAAATTTTGTATTATAATTGAATTTATTTAAAGACATTTTTTTCCCCACATGTCATGTGCAACGCTCCATTACAGTAACGTTTTTTTTTTTTTTTATCTTTAGTTTTAGTTAATAATCCTGGTTCAGC